TGTAATTCTCTTAGCGGCCAATTCCGGTGAGACTCCATAATAGTGGATAATACAAAAAACAGATTAATGTATGATTTCTTATAACTGAGAAAATTACTTTGTTGATACGAAACAAGAATCATGTTGATCGCTATACTGAAGGAAGTTTATCGTGCGTTTTATGTTGGATATATAGTATACAAGAAATTCATTGTTCTTTACGATATCAAATGCATTCGAGATATACAGTTCGCCCAAAACGATACATTGCCTCACAGATTAGCGAGCATAAGATTGTATTTTTGTTCACAAAAATTTACCGTTAGATGGATATTAATCACCTTCTCGTTTCATATATTACAGATATTTTAAACCATTTAAATTAAAATTGCGAAACAAAGTTGCATGTTGACCAAATATATTCACAATTATGTAGATTACTTTTATGTCGCGATTTATTTTATCTATATATAGGAAATTTTGCCCATTCGTAACTAATGTAATATGTGTAACATCTTTTTTTTTACGTTGAAATATAATATCATGAATACGAAATTAATTGGAAGAATTAAACACATGTAAAAGTTAAAAAAAATTAATGGTACCGCTGTTACGCCTACAACGTGTAAACAACAATCAGGAACAACTAACGAGATTGTCTACTAAACAGATAACAATATTGAATGCCAAGTTAGTTTGTACGTGCGCGATAATAGGGTGTCCATGCTTCATTCCGCATTTAGTATACGACTTCAAATTATCCCGGATTGCAAAAGTGAGTATCTAATGTTATTGGTACCACAATTGTAATATAGTTACAGAATGGAATGATACTTCTAAAAGAAATTTAAGGCTTCTTCTTCAAAAAGAAAAATAATATCATTGGATTTTAATTTTATCGTTATCATCATCAAATTAAATTTATTTTCTCTCTTAACGCTGTAATATATAAAAAATACGAAAAGATTAGATTATATATATATATATATATATATATATATATATATATATATATATATATATATATATATATATATATATATATATATA